TTGATGAAGATGCTGTGGAATCCGTCTCCCGCGTCTCGTCTCCAGCACGCACCAACCTCAGATCGTGTCGGGAACCGATTGTGTGGCGTTGCTCTGCGTGTGTGTGTGTGTGTGTGTCTGACATACGATACTGCTGAGCCTTAGGTTTTCTGTGTGTGTGTGTGTGTCCACCTGCGTCTTGTCCCTGCAGTTTATGTCTCTTCAGGGCCTGTTAGCCCAGCACTGGAGCATCTCTGCCTTATAGCCTGTGCTGATCCGGCCTATTTTTTTTTTTTCCCGCCTCTTGTTGAAGTAAGTTATGGCGCTGCTTTTTGGCTTCGTGTTAACGTTAGTTTCAGCAACACTTCAAACCCCTGGGATGTTATGTCACCGAGGAAACAGACCTAGTTAGCGTACGTGAGACGTCTCCGGGTGTGTCCTGTGTCAGTTCTTGGAACGTCTTTAAACTTATTGACTGTAGACACAGGAAAGACGCCACGTCCTGGTCCTATTTTTAGGTTGCTGTAATCGGAACACAGATATTGATCACGTCAGAGGGCACCCCCGGTGGCTCGTCTCTGTCATTACGGATTTTGTGGTTTTGGTGAAAATGTCCCACCCTTCCTCCTCAGTTTACTGACACTATCAACACAAATGTTGGACACGAGTGTCCTCACAGAACTCTGTCTTCTTTGTCTTCTCCTCCATCTTCTTTTTTCTCCTTTTTTCTTCTGTTCCTTCTCCTCTCCCTTCTCCTTTTCCACCTTCTTCTTCTTCTACTTGGTCTTGCTCTCCTCCTCCTTTTTCTTTACGTTTCTTGGAGTTTTTTTTCTCCGCTCCACCTTCATTGATTCTCGTTCTAACCCTGTCCGTCCTGGTCACTTCCAGGCTGATCTCAGCGTCTTCATTTTCACCTCAGCTGTTATTCTTCTGTCTGTTGATGTTGAACTCGTCCACCTTCATCACCTCCTCCCCCCCCGACCCTCGCCTCATTCTCACTTTTAGCCGTGAAGTTTACCAGCTTTTATGGAAACAGGGTTTGCGTTTCTACAGTTAAGAAGCACAAAACTCAGTGAGTACTCAGTCAGGCTTCCCAAAAAAAAAACTAGGGCTGCGGAGGAACAGAGAGAAGGGGGAGGGTGAGGGGGGGGCAGGAAGACGCTCTGTTGCATCTTTAAAAGTCTCATATTTTTGCCTGCCAGCCACTGATGTTCTTCACTCAGGGAGCAAATTGAGTTTGCATGCCTTGATTACTCATTAACATGGCCTTTGCTGCACTCCACCAATTTCAATCCCAAGTGCATTCAGACATGTTCTGTTTTAATAGTTTTATGTCGAAGATTTAATATTCCACCGTGTCACTGACTGGCAGCTCGTCCTCTCTCTCTCTCTCTCTCTTCCCTGTTATGATTTAAACTTGCTGTTCCAGTCACCACAGATTAGTCATTTGTGTTTCCAGTGTGTGCCTGCGCTCATTATTTACAGTGTATAGTTTGACTCTGGGTCGTGGACAAACGCACATGTAAAATGGTTTGTGTGTACTTTACCGAGTCACAATTGATTAAAAACTGGATTTAAACATATTAGGGAAATTAGAACGGGGGGGAAAACGGCCCATTATGTGAATGTGAAGATCATTAAATGGAGTGGAGAAAAAAAAGGACATCATTTCCACTAAGATGCACAATTAGGCTGTTGAGCTGTAAATTTGTAAATGCAAATGA